GGAACTTCCTTGATATCTTATCGAGGGTTCATGATGAGCGAGTTAATTTCGAATTGACGTAGGTACAATTCACTTAATAGGGAGCTATAATTCTCGCTGATCACACGCCGATTGCAGGTTGAGTATCTTTTACCGCTGAAGTTATATAATATTTTCGTACAATTACTAATGTCCGATGTGAATCCACTGAAATTAAATGATTTGTAATGTTTGAAAGTTATAAATGCTCCTGGTCAAGTATCTGAAGTGTCCTGATTAATAAGCGTTATAACAATCACAGTTATAGCTTCCGAAGTTTATAGTATACCAACTCTTTTTAGGCGCGGCGCGTTGGCTATATATATAGGCGAGTGGAGAGTTTCTCGAAAATTCAGATTACGTAATAATACAAAGTTACATTAGCGTTTACGTACACACATATATTGTTGATTCTTACACTCGAGAACCCTCTACAACTTTAGGGAACAGACGGGAGTTTCGCAATACATATTTAACGGTATAATTTATGAATATTTCTAAATATAAATTTAATTTTATAAAAGATAAATATAGAATTATAAGTCCATCACATGACTTAATTTCTTAAATTATTGTTTGATACTATATTACTTATTATTAACTTAAAATCAAACGATATTGTACTTAATTTGTGATAAACAGGTATGACAACGAAGTCGTATAAATGTGTTTCCTCCTCAAATTTGTGTAATAATAAATAAATAAAATATCTGTCCTAAAATTTTTCAGGAACACTGTTAAACTCGAGCTTCTGTATTTAAGAAAAAACTAAATTATTGTATTTGTTATTTCTGACTTACATCCACAAATATGAGTTATTTTGTTTTTTAACTAACAATTTGAATAGCTCACCATGGAGAAACCTTAACAAATACGCATGTAAATGTGCTTGTTATTAAACTCAGGGATGTCAAAATCATGAAAACATTTGAGATTATACTTAGTATCAGAAATGTCATAATGCACACTAGTTCAGTTGCGTATTTGTAATCGTTCATGCCTAATCCTAGAACTTTTATCGATCTCCATTATTCTTTCGATGTCTTGAGCGTTCATTTAGTAAAATAGATTCAACGTTTTTGTAGGCGAACAGTTTGTTTCATAATCACATATAAAGTATTTTTTAGAATATTTTTCCTGTGAAACACAAATCACCTCTTATAACTTAAAATAAAGCAAGAATGAAAAGGAACAAAATTTATTCTAATATATTATTTAAGAGAATGATAGCCATAATCATAGCAAAATATATTCAAGTTCTTCAGTGAAATGATAAAAAACGTGCCATTTATCTATTATAACCCACATGAAACAATAGATGGTTTATTAGTAAAAATATATCAGACACTTTTCTAATAATAAGTAAATTCAATATTAAAAAAATTAAAAAACGCAAATCCAGAATTCGAAAGTTGCAAAAACAAAAGAAAAATTAGTTAAAATTGTTTAAAAGTAACTTAAACAAGATTATTAAAACTACACATAGGATGACTACTCTACCTACAATATCTAAATATTAAAGCTGTAATATTTAGGTGAGTCAAAATGGGGATTTTTAGCTTAAGGAAATAATGTCAACACTATCTCTCAAGCCTTTAGCTTGTTTGTTTACTGTTTTTACCGATTGCATTTTCACTTTAAGCTACCTATCTTGTTTCTATCATTTTTGAAAGATCCCTATTCCCCTTTTAAAATTAACAATTTTTAATAATCTTGTTTCTTGAGGTTTTATATGTCCATCATAAACATAAATCTGTATAATAGCAATACTTATGATATACAACATTGTTTACTGACAAAAAGGGATCATGGATAAACGTTTC